AAAATCGCGTCAGTACAAGTAAATACAAGTAAAAGTCCTTAATAACTGTCCCTGTGAAATGCGCGTAAGTCACAATTCATTCATAATTAATCATRTAGGGAGTTATGTTATTCTCAAATTTTCACATTACATATCAGATAATTTTCTTAAGCACTGATCTTGAAGGGTTGCACTTATCAATTTCCAATTCCGTAGGCGATTCCTCTAATAACTTAGAGCCAAAATTCTTTCACAATCATTTTGTGTCAATGCTCTACAAGACCTAAGAACATGGTGTTATGTTGTGATTTCATCACACTATGAATTCTTTTCGAAGAGAGAGGCTCTTTATACGCACTCCAAGTGTTACACATGAGACTTTCCATGATGATATATGATGTATGAGATTCAGGTAAGAAATAAGTGTTGGCAAAAAGTGAGCTAACACCCGATCAAAAATTTATTTCAATAATGATTAAAAAGCGAACAAATATCTTTAGCGATCGAGTACATCTATAAAGACTATCTTCAAAGAACAAAAATATTGATTGGCACCGACATTATAATTTTCGCAAACCGTCTCTTTTCCGCTATTATGCCATGAATAATGTCATTGAAAACCATCGCATTAAAATTGAGCAGTGTAAGAGCTTAAGAAAATATTTCCAAATCATATATRTTCTCAAAAAATACGAATATCGCTCTACAACCTACCTTTCAAAGAAGGTGTCGCCTTACCAAAACCGTTACTCCAACAATCGCTTTGCCTCGTTTGAATCTATCTTATGAACATCAAATTGAGCGGTAATACTCGGAACAGCTCGTCGTCTCAAGTCAGCCAGTCGAATATTTTACCCCGAGGACAATTTCAAACTGCAGTTTAAGTGACGCAATGAAACCGCCCACTTCGTTATTTGTGTTTTTTATCGTCTCCACAAGGCAACGCGGAAGAGGTAAAGTAAGTGCTCTCATCATGTTTTTTGGGCAAAGAAGTCAGCTGTCGATCACGTCTTTATATCTAATTCAGATCTTTTTTACTTATACGCTGAAAAATAACTGATATCTTCTTAGCTGATAAGGTGTTAGAAAATTAAAGGCGAACTAGTTCTCAAAGAAAGTTGACTTTAACTCGAAAACTGATTGGTAAAGACAAACAAGCAAAAAAACAAAGGTTCGCGCGAACCTAAGGAAATGCTTAMTATTAAAAATATCAAAGCTASAACWGAGTAAYAATTGTTAGTAATCTCAAGCCAAACGTCGTATAAGCTTCCTAAAAGATCTCCATGGCTAGAATCACCTGTCTAGTTATGTCGTCTGTAAATACGTTCAATTGAGACTGGCTCATCAGTGAAAGGAAGCAGTTTCAAAACTTAATAAACTTAGTGGAAAATAAACCAATGGAGTTTATACCGATGAAGTGATAATAGCCCCTCTTTTCATCAATTCTCAGTATGAAACAAACCCTTATTGTAAATATAATAATTTAGAGAGAAGTTTTATATATAGTTCAAATGTCACTAATTTGATTAAGAAAAAGAGTTACGAAACTGTAGTTATAGAAATCAAGTGTCGTTCGTGTGAAGAACGACAATTAATAACCATATATGAATTATAGTTATAATCAACTATTGTATTGTCATAATAGTATAATGTAATGATTAGAATTTTGAAAAAAATGTAGTAAAAATAGAATAATTAAATATTAAAGATATTCATCGACGTATAAAAGATGATTTAATTTTTCTATTATGTAAAGCAATAGAGTTTTATGACTGCCGTTATTTTTGGCTTTGCTTGATTAAAAAAAAGGCTTTTATTAAGATATGTCTTTTCAATAAAGGACTAATAAATCATAATATACAATTAAGACTATAGAGTTTTATAACTACAGTTATTTTTGGCTTTGCTTGATGTTGTTTTTTATCTCATCTAAAGCGTCATAGCCGGATCTTGTGGGTACAGTTGATAGACTTGGATATATTTACTTCATACAGTCAAAAGACAGTTAATAGTATGACTTCCTTATAACTGTATGACGTTCTTTGACTGTACCTTATTATTGCTCTTTGAATTTTCGAATTTTCTAGTTCTTCTCCCTGTTTATTATTTTAGTTTTGTTTTCGGTCTGTTTCAGCTTAACGACCGTTCAATTTAATATAATCCTACAAATATACAGGGCATTTTAGTTAAGAGTGATTTATCGCTCCTCGTATATCTACGGAAAGCTTGCTATCTGATTAGTTAATCAAAACTTTATCACGATAAGAAGTTTTAATAGGATTAAGTAACTATTTACGTGCTACACTGTGCTACTTTCATTAAGATTATCTTGTTAGAATCTTTATGTAGAATAAGAGAATAATAGAAAGCCCATAAAAGCAAAAAATAAAGTAAAAAAAGTAAACAACTCGATGTATGTCGTAATGGTCATTAAGGGCCGCTTCACACTATGACATAAGCACTGAAACCGAAGCAGAATTTGTTCACAGTTGTCAGAAGCATGTTCTTCTGCTTATGATGTCCTGGTTCACACTCATAATCTCTCAACAGAAGCAGAAACAGAGGCAGAAGAAAATGAAAAAGTTTTCATTTTCATTTTCATCTGCTTCTATCTCTGCTTCTGTTTTCCCCGGTTCACACATACAAAACACACTTCTTCTGTTTGTGCTTATGTCAGTCACAATGTGAACCGGCCCTAAGCATGTTAAGTCCCACTTTGCTGAAAAAATATAAATGAACAGAAATTCCAAGAAATATGGTTCCAATACTTACGGAATAATGACAAATTTTCATCATATTGAAAACAAAACACACAAACGAGGTATATTTTGGCATATGTATTTTGAAGTAGRTGACGTCATCTACTTCAATCACCTTRTTATTGTTCTTGTTTTCCAATCTTTTGAGACAAAATTTCTCTCATTTGGATAATTYATAAACAAAATCAATCCCGAAAGAGTTATTAATACGTATGAATAAGTCATATTTAACAGACCATATGTTTGAATTATACGAGCTCGGAAAATGAGGCCATTTTCGYCCAAGTGAGAGTGTTTTGKCGATCACCGTTTAAAGTATATCCATACACAGCGAAAAAATTGTTTTCAACTCAGACCTGATTTGTCTACAACAGTCGTAAGCAACCTACGACTTGTAGTAGGATTTTGAACCACKGCTTAAAATCCTACGACTTGTAGTAGGAAAATCGTATACTACAAGTCGCGCGCGAAAAATCGTACCGCGTAAATCAGCCTTTAAAGTGCGCGTTTTTTTCCAGTTTGAAATCATTTTCCTTTTTCAGCTGATTTGATTACCCTTTATGTTTTTTAGTAGCGAAAGTGAAAGGGCAGTGAGAATAATCAAGTCATGAGAAAACCAGAGGTCAGAAGGGTCCTCTCTCCAAAATGGCTGCCATTTATTACCATTCTTTTTTGTAAATGAGCCCCTGAAATATCAATAATATGAAATATCAATAATTCCAAAACAAATATTTTCCCGCAATTGTTTTTAATTGATATAAATGAGTCATATATTTGTGTTGCTTGAAGTTTTGAATAARGGCATTTTCATAAAAACGAGACAAAAGTACGGCCATGACGCACAGCTCTCTTGAGCGACTTTCACTTACAAATCTATGTCAAAATGCTGGATAGTCTACCTTATCTGAAAACCTTGTACGTCATAACAAAACAGCTTGTTAACCACACTGTAAAAACAAAGGAGTCATTTTAACCCTTTTTCACCTTAACTCAATTAACCCTCATGAAGTGTTAAACAACTCTACTGAGATTCCGTTTTGACACTCCTTTTGGGTCAAAACGACTCTTTGGTTCAGAGTGACCCCTAAAAGGGGTCAAGGTGACTCTTTTTAAAATCAAAATAGTAAAAATAGCACCAAGCGGTGAAAACAACTCCTTGTTTTCACAGTGCAAGCATAGTTAAAGGCCCAGTGTGCACCATTATGCTTTGGGGTTTACTTAGCCTTTAGGCACAACATTAAGAAAACCTTATATTATATTCCTATTTATTTAACTTCATTTGCTATTCACTTAAATTGTAACTTAATGTGTAATGTGTATTAAAATGTTTTGTTTGTTTTGTTGTTGTTTGTTTTGGGGCCCGCGAGGGCCTGGCGGCGACCATTTTCAGTTTACCGAAAGTCTATACTGAACTGTACTGTGCGTTTCGAATCCGCTCACATCTTGCATCTCACTTTTTTGAGCACTTTCAAAGCTAATATTAGAGTTTTYAACCATCGGACATTCCTTTTATGGTGATATTTGGACACCAATCTCGTACCCAGAGCCCGCACTTTTGCCATCCAGCGGATGTCAATGCGTGAGAGAYTCTTGGGGTTTTTCAAGTCGCTAGCGCGCTTGCCACAGTAGTCAAGAAATCATACTTTCATCGCATAAACACAAATGTTTTCACACATTTTTGTTTTTAACAAGGTGTCAATACCGTTCCTTAGTCTATCCTAAACTAAGTTGTGTCAGGTGCTAAACCGTATTCCTTTTTATCATTTTAATGCTCTAAAAGCAGAAAACAAAATTTGCATAATTTGCGACGGAAAAGCGTCGCAAATCCAGTCGATTCCTCCAGAGTCTTTCCGGCGTCAGCATACCACTGAGATTAGCCGTGAAGACTCTGGGCTCGAGATTGTTTGGACACTAGAAGTATTTTTTATCTAAAATCTTAACAATAACAGGCGCGCAAAAAATAATGGTGCAAACTGGGCCTTTAATAGAACCCCACTATTAAATATGGTGCAAGTAATGATATTAGTAAAATACCTTGAGAGATCCCAGTAAAAATTGGTTGCATCTCACACAGCAATATCACCACGGACGCTCTGCTGCCATTCAAACCTTGGACATGATATAGCATAAAGTAATCATGATAAGCATAAATTATTAAACCGTATTTCAATGCTGCTATATAGAAGGTCGATTGATCTTGAAAAAAAATACGAATTTGATATATGCAAAGGACTTCGTTGTCGTCTTTACAAATGAATAACNAGGACAAGGAGGAGACTATGTCAGGAAAAGGTGCAGTTAGTGTAGCACTATCTGTAGATCTTTGATGACATGTAGAAGAGTGGCCCCTTCTATTAACTATGATGGTACCAACGGGGATATACCTAATTGCAAGTACGTTGTCAGGTTCCAGAATGCTACATCATCAAAGCTACGACCGAAAGGGAGCATGGGAAAGCAAATTCTATGAGTCTTTCAATGCCAAAAGACTGCACTGAATAAAGTGACCTTTTCTACGAGTAATGGTAAAATTTAATATGTTTAACAAAATATGATTCGAATTCCTAAGTAAAAAATGTCCTTCGGTGTTAGCTACGATGATATTACCTTTGTACGACCCGACAATTAGTTGTGAATTTTCGAATCTTTATGGAGTTCAAGCGAACCCTCGAAGATTCAAGCTTCCCTATTTTAGGTGTCAGTTTGACACCAAGAAGAGTTCAGTAGCACCACGAAAGAGTCAAACGATTCTTCAGATGTAACATTTTGCTCTTTGATTCCTTTTTCAATTTGATCGATTGATAAATCTTTTAATGGAAAGTCGGGGAAAAACAGTCTTGCATAGCATACAAGAACTTATTTAATCCCTTGATGATGATGACTTTTTTACTTAGTTTTATCTCGCAATTAAAAAAGCGTCAAAACCGAATCACCATTATTATATGCTGCCTTGTAAATGGAACTCTAAAGCTTTTACGTCATATTACTTTTATCATTAAACGCAATGCATTGTAGGATATGGCGGATTTCTTTTGTTTTGTCCAGAGACTGATCCACAGTCCATTGTGAATCGTGACGTAAAAGGTTCAGAAGTCGATTTGAGGTATTAGAAAAAGACACCAGTTTTATTCAAACCAAAAACTTGACTTTTTTGGTGCGTTTGGTWCGCTCATGACCACAACTTGTTTATATTTCCACTTTTTTCACAGCTCAAGATATTTTCAAATTTAAAGATAGCTCAAAAATGAAGATTGAAAATCTCGAATGAGAAGAAGATAACAATGTGAGCTCGATCTGGTCGTCTGGTCGTCGAAGGTAAGCCGAAGAGTGAAAAGGATGCTTCACCCATCAAGTACCCTTTTATTCATTCACAACTGAATCTGCGAAACTAGTATAGGAGCCACTGATGCGCGAAATCGATCCACGATTGACTTAACTGGCAATCATTAAAATCTTAACGTGATGATTTCAAATATTTAAGAAAAGTTAATAGCTAAAAACAATGATTAATAGAGCACTGATAAACTGACATAGTTCACGTYATCTCGATATAGAAAACATGCTTGAACTAATTATATTAACCTCGCTTGCTCGACCGTCTATACGGGAATATCTGCAGAGCCTATTTTCCCTTACAGAGCGAAGAAGCGAGGTTAATAAGTAGTTAATACAATACCTCCAGAACACCCATATGAGTTKTTGCCTTGCAGATTCTGTGTCCCTGTTTTGCAGCTTTGGCACTTGTCTCCCTCCACGTTCACTTTGCAGCTCGTACATTTGCCCGTATCATCACAGATATTTTCTTTCACTCCCGCAAGATTACAACCGCAGGGCTGACAACTATGGTTAGAATAAAATAATGTCAAATATAAGTCTATGATGTATTTCGAAAAAAGATATTTTTCAAGTATGGCATAATTGATATTTCGGTGTGCAGGCAAAGTGAACACTCTGATTGTCCTGGCCTGGATGCGTATTTTTCCGATTGATGGGARGATACTATGTGTATTTTAATTCAAAAAAGTACTCCATGTTGTTTATGTCATAGCATGTTCTTAGACATGATATGATTGGATTAAAACCTCTCATTCTAACTTGCAAAAGCATTTCAAGGGGTAAAATATGGCGAGACACACTTATTTGAAACGTATGATCACCCCAAATATTCAACAAATTTTGCAATAGAACATTGGTCGACCAAAAGACAAATTTTTGAGCTGATGARTTGAGCTGGSGTGATGCTTTCAACATCTTCAAACCAAATCCAACATCTTCAAACAAGGTAGCGAACGGTATAATATGGCTCCACCCCCAATGCTTGTAATTGATGATATGTCATTTCGCTTTTGGCCAGAGCTCGATTCTAAAGGAACTTACTTTCCAGAGCTAAAGCCATAATTTCCTGATAAACATCTATCACATCTCAGTCCTCCAATGTTTGTTTTACACTGACATTGCCCCGAAGTCATGTTACAATTCCTACTGGCAGCTCCAGTCGGGTGACAGTTACAAGCAACACACCCTTTTCCTGATGGGTTCCAGAAGTATGCTGAGGCACAGGCGTCGCACTTTTTCCCATCGACATTGCTCAAGCATGCGCACTGCCCATTACTGCTACATCCAAGAACATCTACAATATTTTAAAGGGGTGTTTAGTATATCATAAAAAAATGAATTTGAAGAGAACGGTGCTTTTTGGCTATCGTATTCAAAAGGTGGCCGTCTATCACCGGAGGTGTTTAAGTAAGTTGATGTCCAATTCTATGGAGGATTAGGAATTTTTTGTTTTCGGAAAATCCAGATCAAACGGGGCGATATACATYCTTTGTTAAGAGATATTTATAATAAACTTACTTGATGACGAAGGGTTTTGTGTCCCTTTAGCATTGCAATCACACCGCTGRCATCCTTCAGGATTGCTCTGGMTCAGGTTGTACGTYCCGAMCTGACACTGATTGCAGTTTKTACCAATGACGTAACGTTTACAAGTACAATTCCCAGATTGCACCTCGCACTGAAGTGACTTWCCAACAGTGCCTTTGGGATCACAAGTACATATGACACACCCATCAGGGTTAGACGCTGAGATATTGAAGTACCCGGATTTGCAACGCTGGCACCGTCGGCCTTCTGTGTAGGGTTTACAGTAGCACGTCTGGCCATTATTAATATTGCACATGGCTAATGTACTCCCTTCTTTAGAACAATTACATGCTTTGCAACCATTAGCACCAAGGCTGTGGTAGCCATCATCACATTTATCACATCGACGACCAGTTGAGCCCACTTTACATCCACACTGTCCAGTTATAGCATTACARACACTTGTGTTCAATGAGCCAAATGGATCACAGCCACAGGCTTTACATCCCGCAACCTCTAAGGTGTTCAAGCCATAAAACCCAGGAGAACAAGCATCACATTTCATACCCACGACTTTACTCTTGCAGTGACACTGACCCGTTATTGCGTGACATGATGTGTTACCACTGATCGTTCCTGCTGTATTACATCCACATGTAACGCAACCTGTCGCGTGACCAGACTTTAGATCGAAGTAGCCTGGTTTACATTGGTTGCACCGTCGTCCCTGAGTGTACTGTTTGCATTCGCACTGGCCTGCAGTTACACCAGGTTTTGTATCATCCTGATAATAAAATGTTTCAAATCATGCAATGAGATAATTTTCCTGATAAAATCATCATGCAAAAAAGCAAATAGCCTTACCTTAACGCAATCAAACTTGTTTGGGATCACTCCAGGCCCTGTACATGCACAATAGCTGCAAACATCGACTGCACTCAAGTTCTTGCCACTTTCTCTGTAAAGCGTTCCTTTACATGTGTGGCAATATCGACCGGTTGTATTATGTTGGCAATCATTGCATACACCTCCACCCCCTTGGGATCTTGAACTTGGGGAGGGGTCTAGTGTCTTGTTATAATGACAGCTTGTTGCATGTTGGTTGCATTCGCACTTGATACATGKGTAGGTGTTGGCTAGGTTACCGCGCTGAAATGGTTTCTTATTGTATAACGGCAAGCAGCGATCACACTGAAAAAGAAAAAAAAACGAATAGAGTCCTTTTTCAAAAGACACAGTAGTTACATTTAACCCATAAATGTACTGTATTGCCTACTGTCAGAAYGTTCGGCAAAATGGTTGAAACCTTCCTACAACTATCATAGTCTATTGTAGACTCCTAAAGAGGGTGGCCTAATGACGAAACATTCAAACTCAAATAATAGTCAAAGATACAAGTAGATGTTGGTACAACGCTTATAACTATCGCCCTCTATCATGACCGTTTGGTCATAATACTTTTACTAAGCCTTGTCAAACCAAACCATGAAGAGTTAGCATCTTGCTCAAAGGCAATCGTAAAAATAAGATTTCCTTTGTATAGAACTGGGTACTAATTGTTATAAAGGGGTACAAATAACCTTCACAACCCTGACCATGCTTGTAATTACCTTCTCTCCTTCAGTAAAGGTTGTTGCGTTACAAATACAAACACACTTGCCATTATGCGTTTCATTTCTACTGATGTAAGTAGCAATGATGGCATGACCGAAGCACTGACATCTATACCAATAGATATCAAGAGATAGATTAGTTTTCGAGTCACAGGAGATAAGATTACATACTACCCCTCCCCACTTCCCGAATGGTCGTGGAGGAATAGAAGACCCTTGAGGTGGAGCCTTCTCTGTCTTGAATGAAATAGTGGCCAATGAAGGCTTCAGGGGCCTAAAATGTATAAAAATTGAAATTGAATTTAATCAGCTTTGTCATTAAATCTCACTATGCATACAAAAAAGAAATGTGCCAATCAGCATAATGTGAAACACTAAAACTAGAACACATTATCATAGTAATAAGAACTTTTCATTCAAATTCAATTTATAAGACATTAAGATTTCCACATGTATAGTGGCAACACATTAAAGCAGGGGTGGATCCACCACGCTATAATGGGGATGGCTACATAAACCATGAAATTCTTTATAAACCCCAAAAGGGCGGTGGCTAGCCACCCTGATCTCCGAGCCCCGCTGCTTCCACCCTTTTAAAAAGTGAGGGCCATCAAATGTACGAATCGTCAGCCTTTCTATAGCACAACTGTGTGCTTAATTACAAAGATGAATCTGGTAACAGACGAAAACCTTAGAAACAGCCTCAGCATGCGTTACTTACAAGTCATATTGCAAGCAGTTGACTGAATCTGGTTGTGGTAAAGGACCATTGTTGGCCATGTTAAAGGATTTGATACAATCTTCTGCAAAGTACTGCCAAGGTTCAAAAGTACGACCATTGTCACGTGATCTCTCAATTATTATCGCTGATGGTTGAGGACCATAAAACTCGAGGATTACATAAAAAATCTTGAGAAAAACAAATGAGAAATATCAATATAAAATAAATATGATGATGTTGATATAAATGATGTCGGTGATCAGTAACATTTTTTATCTTAATTTGATTTTTTATTGGTCTCCAACTACAAATTACAATAAATTGAGATTTGGGATTATAATGAATTATTATACTTTTCATTCACAATCTGAAAACTGTTTGGTCAAACAGCTAAAGTTTATTTTCACTGCAACCTACATACTCGCAGTAAACGAGCAAACTATTCTCTATGGGTACATGCTAAAAGTAATCTAAGTGTGTTCACGCTTTGTTTCACAAGATTATCGCATCTTTCTCTAAACTGCATAAGTGGAGTTTCTGTTTGTGTACACTCCAGYAGGGYCCAGAGAAATCTATACAAAATTTATCCGGTGAATAACTTTCGTACAACCCCTGACCCAACACATAAATGAGGTACCTGCATTACTCCATATCTTAAATCAAGATATATAGTTGCTGTGTTGGTCAGTGTAGACTGCCAGTATGTTKTAGTATTTCCATCTGTTSCTAGTTCAATGGGATGTGCTGTGTCAGCTAAACGCAATTTCTCCTCACCAACAGAATTGTCTAAATTTCTTGTACATTTAGCAGGTTTTGACTCCATTACTTTGGGGTAGTCTGGTGGACAGCGACACTGACTTGCAATGTACACTTTGGGAAGAACTCCCGTGAAAGCTTCTGTGACTTCTCTGAAAGTCAAAAGTCATTCACTCACTGAAATTGGAACRGRTCTGTTATCATAACGGTCATCAAGTTCCCAGTTGAAGGGYTATTTGGTAAATTTCGTGCCAWTGACGGCTCAGTTTGCTTGTAGATAACATTGAAAGAATGCCTGTTCTTGCTTTTTCGATTCCGAGTGTGGAGTATGTTCTCTATAAACATCTTGCATCTTTACAAATTAAAGCCAGCATTTCTTCCCTCCCCCCTTCTCAACCAATACAATGTTGGTAGTCCGACTCAATGTTAAAGATGCAGGTCATCACCTGACAAGAGTCAACACTGAATCGGTGGAAGGGGAGGTCGAAGAAACGCCTGAGTGGCGAGCGCCTTGGATATGCAATTTTKGTTCAGTCACGACAAACAGTTTTGCCCCCTATTGTTGTTTCAAGGTGGAGACTGCGGAGGGATGGATCCAGGATTTTCTTCAGGGAGAGGTACAGGTCTTCAAGGGGTGCACACACCACAAA